TTAGACTTAAAAATTAGACATTTTATTGTGTATATACTGTCACTTTGTGTTGTTGTCAATTTTTGTTTGTTTGTTTGTTAATTCATTTTTATCTATTGCTTATGCTGGTCAGTGTCACACACCAAGAATTTCAAAGTTGACATTACTTACGACTTAGCCAATCTGGTACATGCATGCATAGATAGGCATACTAACATATATAGCTGCATGCATTGCTGCTTGGCACAGTGTCACACTGTCAGCACATAGTTGCTTTAACCTAATTCCCTTTTTAAAGTAACAACACTTACAAAATGCTTTAATATAGTGATGAATACTAAATGTACACTTTGCCAAAAACGGATTTTGAATAGATCCCTTCTTTCACAATCACTATCTTTTTTAATATAAGAATCAATATTAGTAACTCAGCCCATGGCTAGAGGCCTGTCTGTTGAAAACATACAAAATCATTAAGCTACATTAGTAAGCTCTTAAAACCACACTAGTATAATAGTTAGCTTTTAGTCAATAAAGCTGGGATAATGAATTCAAAGCTGGTGCACTGTACTCTGTGTGAATACAACTTGGAATTACAAGAACAAAAAACACTATCTATCATACACACACACACACACACACATACACACACTAAAAACACAAGCACAAAAATACCAGACACAGACAGGAAAATCCACAGTGCACAAACATACAAACGTGTGCATGCATACATTAATGGTGTACTGTGTATTGATTAACAAACAAAACACACAGATTCTAGTGCACACGCACATAGACGGGCAAACACACACACCTTTAGCTGGAAGCTATATTACATATTCATAAATGCAGTATTATATGGCTGGCTGACATCTTTCTCTCTTGCCGCTAACCCCTTTCCTAAAAATAGAGAGGAGCTTTACTCTGCTCTGTGTAAAAGACAAACCTTGACATCTTGCAATTTGGACAGTGATAGTGATTGATTGATTAATTGACCCATTAAAATTATGTATGTATTGACACTGAAGTTGGAAATTACCCCAAAATAAGCTCATTAGCTTCGAGCTTATGCCCTTGCTTTGAATAAAGTATGCTAAAAACAAATGAAATGTAAAGATAGGTTTCTTTTATGAAAATTAGCATCAAAGGTGTGTTTTCTGTCGGACTTAATGTTAAATACTGAGTTGCCCCAGAGGCAGCTGGATGATTCTTGCATGATGTGTGACAGATGGCATGTAAGCTATGTGAAAGTGTGTTGCATCACAGATACATTGTCTGCATATAAAACCGTGCAATGCTTTGACGTGTGATAAGGGTAGACAAGAGGAGACAAACAGGGAGACACAAAAAAAAGGAAACAAGATCTGAGAGAAAAAATAAAAGTGACACAAAACTAGCCATTCCTTCAACAAATAATCAGTCACAAAAAGCTCACTTTGATT